CCATCGGCTGTCATCACCGGTGATCATATCGACGCCATCGTACAGATTGCGGGCCAATTCGTCGGTGTTGTTGGACAGCGGGAACCGACCGGCGATACCACTGATTACCACATCGTTTCCAGACGTTATTTTACTCATTGTCTTTCAGTTATATTATTGATTGATAATAAAAACTGATATACTCTTCAACCAAAAGTGAATTCAACTTTGATATTATTTTGTTTAGAAAAGCAATAAATGCTGAATATACTAATAATAAAATTTGCTAGATATTTGCCTATGGATATTCATAAGCAAACTCAATTTAAGCATAATTTACTGCCTTTTATATGTAGCGATCTGTTTTGCGATCGCAATTAAAATTATTAAAAACAAAGTAATCAATTTGATGATATATTTTTAAATTGACAATTGATTATAGCTTTAAATAAAATAAAAGCTTAATTACAAATTTAGATCTTATGATTAAATATAGGCATTGGATAATTAACCAGTGTAATTTAGTTTAGATTGTATCGTTATCCTAATTATTTTTTAAAACTATTAAGTTAAATTGTTATATTTAATATTGATGAAATCCATTAAGTGTGTAACATGCTGAACACGAGTAATTATTTTATAAGTTTGTCAAAACGTGTTTAAATTGTTTATTAATTTTAAGGGTATTTATTAGTGATTGACGTAGGAAATTAATTTGTTTTGATTCAAACGTTCAATTCTGGATTTCAAAATCTTTGGATTTCAATATTTATTACTTAATTGGAACTTTATATAGATATAATCAAGGTAAATTAATAATCAAGTTTCAACCTTCAACTTCATTTAATTCATATTACAATTGATTGTTTAAGTTCTTAACTATTATTTAATTGTTTTTGTTAATTAATAATCATATATCAACCTGAATCAATTTAGTAAATACTCAATTAATTAACCTAATTATGCAATTAGTTAATTAGTATCTTATTATATAAAATATGCAAAAGCATAATTAAATTGCCATTCATGTTTTAAAATTTACAACAATTATTGAATCACGGTTCGTTCATTGAAAAGAAATTATTTAATTTACTTATTCTTTACAATTATATTATTATTAATAATAATAATTTATTAAATTAAATAAATATTAAAATTATTGATTTTATTGTTTTTCAATTGAAAGTTTTTAAGTATAGTGATTATTTTTCAATAAATTTATAAATGTCCGTCAAATGTTATAAATGGTGTAACAATATATTCATTATGACCAGCCCTTAACACGCTTTATATTAATTAATCGAGGTAATAAATTATTACTTTAAATAGTCTAATGTAAGTTAGATGATAAAATGCGGTAAACAGTTATTATAACTTATAATTATGCTATAGATATCATTTGATCAAGGTTAGCCTTTCGCCACTTACGATAGAAAAATATAGTAATTTTGTTTCAATGTATATAATCTGGAAGAGTCACAATAATTAGACATGTGATCTTATTTCCTGCTAGGATTAATTGTACTGTATATTTAATTGTAAACGTAATTGTATATTAAGCTCATTTTAAAATTTATTTACAGTTGAAGAATTAATGGACTGTAGTTATAAGTTATATGCTTGTTATTTCGTTATTTATAATATAAATCTTAGATTTAGTTAGATGATCTAACTCGTTCATCACTCAAAAATTAATTTTTTAACAATAAATGCCGAGTGCACCATTTGTAACATTAAGGTAAACAAGGTCCTCTACTTTTTAATCAAAATTATATCATAAGTTACACGACTTGTTTCTTCTTACAAATATGTGCCTTTTTGTTGGGTCACACAAAATGTTCGCATAATTTAATCATTAAATAACATAATATTTATTTTAATAATAATAACAATTATGAAGCCATGAGTTGAGGACAATCTCTATCGCAAATCTCATTGAGAAGAGGACTCATATCCGGTGGACACAGATTTAAACCATAATTAATGCACTTTTGTTGCAAATCTCTCATAACTTTAATTTCATTCATTAATTTTGTTAACTTTTCTTTGGCCACACTTTCCGTTTGGTATTTCATTAGTAAATATCGTTGAAGTAAATGAATGTAAACTTTTTGCTGAAATCTAAATTTGCAAATTAATATTTAAATTATTGGTATTAATAATTTTAATTAAAATTACTTACTTAACATTTTTCCTATGCGTAATGTTTGGGTGATTTGTATCAAACAATATAATTGGCGTACACTAACAAATAGTATATAAAATTATTTGCATAGTAATATTTAATATAATCTTAAATAATTACCAAGTGCAGAATATTCTGATCATTACTTAAGTTGCATACCATTTCAAACATTGACTTAGTTTGTGTGTACATATAATTTGAATTATTTTCAAACACTTGTAATTGCAGTCGAAATGGTTGAACGGTGTCGTCCTGACAATTAAAATAACAAATTGTAAAATTACTCAATATTAATATTAATTTAAAAATTGATAATTAATTATACGTTATAATGTATATGTAATTAAAAGAATACCCCGGGAAAACGCCACTCTTCCTGATCATGATGGTAAAAATATTTCGATCTCATACATGCTAATTGAATGGCCGCTCTCTTAAACAACAATAACTGGTCATTTTCACACATAAGGCGAAAAGCTCTTAATTGTTTAAAGCACCTTGTTTGTTTTCTAACCCCAATCTCACAGTGAAGGGCCAACATTTTGATGCCTTCCCACACATCCGACACTTCCGTCTTAATGATAGGAATTGTGGCCAACCTTTCGTCATAAGTGGCGGCCATTAGTTCATTGAATTTCATGCCTTCCGACTCATTAAATGTATGGCATATAATATGTGCGGGAATTGTATTGCAATTTGTCGGTAATGTCGATACCGTTGAAGAGCTGTTCTCAACCCATAATATGTCCTCCAATTCTCTTATTTCCAAATCCTGTGTCTCTTTACTTATGTTATTATTATTTAAAAACTCAAATATATTGTCCGTCTCTTCACTATCGGTCACAACCATTGATGGTGTGAATGAAGAGTCGGTCTTGCCGATGAAGATATTGATTTTGCCATTTATTTTATTGATATTGTTTTTATCGGCAAATAATTTTTGTTTATTTTTCTGCATTTTTCGTTTTCTCTCTTCTTTTTCCTCGTCAGTCATCAGCACTTCCTTTACATTGAATTTCATAATTTAATTAAAGAATATTTTTAAAAATAGTTTTGTAAATACTTTTCTCATTCCAATAGCGAAACACTTTTGAAGTCTGCATTTTCTACAAACAGTCCTCATCTCGACATTCATTTGACAATTGTTTTGAAAAACACATTTATATTTCTATTGAAAACAACTAATTATTAATATTTACATTAATTATTTTACATTTAACACAAAATACATTTAAATTGTTGGCATTTCTCCTGAAGAATGCCTTACATGACTCACAGGAAAGGGCGCAGAAATTCCTGCCTAAATATTAAGAAAATTAATAAATTATATAAGTTAATATATAATTGGTTAATACAAATACCAGATGTTTTATCGCCACAAACACCGCATATCTTGGAATAATTTTTATTTGTTGACATTTTATTACTCAAAAAGTATTTTAAATGCGAGAATCAATTTAATACTCAACAAAAACATAAATCATATCAATAAAGTGATGCCATATTTTTGCACTCAATTTTAATATTATTAAATACAAAATCTTTTTCATAACCAATGATAGAAATAATTGTTTGAAGGTTAACACAAACCTAATTCTGATTGAAAATAATAGATAAGTCAAAGTCAACACAAATTATACAAAATATTATAATTTCAATTAATATTATTTTATTCGTTTTAATTTTCAAAATCTTTTAATTTAAATATAATTATAATAACAATTTGAATCATTTATAACAATTATTCTTTAAAGCACCATGCATTTTTATAACATATAATTTTAAACTTATTGTATTAATAGACAATATTGTAATTATAAAACAGATTTCTGTCATATTTCAGGCATTTTGAGGACAATCTCTGTCACAAATTTCATTGAGAAGAGGACTGATATCCGGCGAACTTATATTCAAGATATATTTGATACACTCTTGCGCTAAATGTCTCATATTTTTAATATCATTCATTAATTTAGCAAATCTTTCTTTGGCCACACTTTCCGTTTGGTATTTCATTAGTAAATATCGTTGAAGTAAATGAATGTAAACTTTTTGCTGAAATCTAAATGTTTAAATTATGTTTAAATAATTAATAAACTTATTCATCAATTCATAATATACTTTACATACTTAACATTTTTCTTATGGGTAATGTTTGGGTGATTTGCATTAAACAATACAATTGCGGTGCACTGAAAATGATAATAGAGTATACAATTTTGTGCATATTAATTTAATTACAGAATTTATAAAAAGTAACGTTTAACATTATCTTAAATAATTACCAAATGCAGAATATTCTTATCACTCGCTAAATCACATGCCATTTCATACATTGACTTTATTTGCGAATATATCGATATATGCTTTGAATTGTTTTTAAATACTTTTAATTGTAATCGAAATGACGGAATCGAAGCGAACTAAACATTGAAATAACAATATTAAAAAGTGACCATAATGTTTGTGAAAAATTATATCACTGATAATAACAGTTTTAAAGTTGTTAATTCACTATAATTAAATGACTACCTCGGGAAAAGTCCACTGTTCCTGATCATGATGGTAAAAATAAGTTGATCGCATACATGCCAACTGAGTGGCAGAACCTTTTGCCAGTAAAATGCGATCGTTTTCACACATATTGCCAAAAGCGGTGAAATTGTTGAAGCGTTTTATCTGCTCTTTGACTGCAGACTCACAACGAATTGCCAACTTTTGAATGCCTTCCGACACATCCGATACATCGGTCGTAATCATAGGAAATGTCTCAAATAGTTGATCATAAGTGGCGGCCATTAGTTCATTGAATTTCATGCCTTCCGACTCATTAAGAGTATGGCATATAATATGTGCGGGAATTGTCGACAATGCAGTTACCGCTGAAGAGTTGCTCTCAACCGATAATATACTCTCGATTTCCCGTATTTGCAAATCCAGTGTTTCTTTACTTATGTTATTATTATCTAAAAACTCAAATAAAATAGACGTCTCTTCGCTGCTCACAATCATTGATGGTGTGGATGAAGAGTCGGTTGATGTATATATTTTCTCATCTACTTTATTGGTATTGTTTTTAACGGCCAATAATTGTTTATTTTTCTGCATTTTTCTACGTTTTCTCTCTTTTTTTTTCCTCTTCAGTCAACAGCACTTCCTTTACATTAAATCTCATATTTTAATAAAACATATTTTTTAATTGTTTTATAAATACTTTTCTCATTCCGATAGCAAAACACTTTTGAAGTCTGCATTTCCTACAAACAGTCCTCATCTCGACATCCATTTCGCAATTGTTTTCAAAAAGACATTTAAGTTTCTAATAAAGTAATTGATTATTATTTACATAAAAATTAGTTTAAAGTTTAAAATACATTTAAATTGTTGGCATTTCTTCGGAAGAATATTTTACAGGATTCACAGGAAAAAGCGCAGAAATTTCTACCTAAATATAGAGTAAATTAATAAATTGTTTAAATTTAAATCATATATAATTGTTTAATACAAATACCAAATGCTTTAT